TAAAAAAATAAGTTATATTACTCCTAATTTTTAAATGGTAAAATATGTCATAAATCTTACTATTATTTTACTATCTATTGATGTCATTTAAAAATAAATGTCACTATTAATTTTTATACTCTTAAAAATTAATATTCTTACCAGATTTTGTATATTAGATCCCATCCAATTGCATTATGCGTACTTAAATCAAAATCATCACTGGTCAAAATTGGGGATTTGGATATTAAAGGCTAAAGGATAAGAACTAGCGAAGGAGGAGCTAAGGCCTAAGGGTCTATTTTGGAGTATTCAGCAGTTGAAATGCCTATATTTTGAACTACTTGGACTCTTGGACACAACAGAAACAAGTCGAACTAGCAAGAATATTTATCCTTTTTATTTCATATTTGTAGCCATCAATATATAAAGATATTATCAATCTATCAACATCATCAATGCATAGGATAAAATTTACAATAAATCGTATTATTATAAGTTATGCCGTTCTGCCATCTTTATATAATGCATAAAACACACACGCATGCTTGTTATAGGATGGAGATGTAATTAATATACATATATATATATATATCATATTCAGAATGAAAAGACAAAAATCTTTAAAAGGCAATATATGAAGACAGAAAATGAGTAAAAAGGGGAGGAAGGATCGGAAAAAGTTACTTGGCATCATTGATGACAAGGTCAAGCTTCTTGTTAGAGAAGGCTTCCTTATTCACAGTCAGGTATTCACGGCAGAAATCTACCACCTCCTGCAATTTTTTTTTCTGGGTTAAAGAAATATTGATGGAGGAAGATCGTGGAGGGTTATTGAGAATAAATGTAATTAATGAAGAAAGGAACCTGGTCGATATCACACATGACAACTCTCTCTAGTGACTTGTGCTTGAGGGCTTCCCTAGCAGCAGAACCTTCGCCTCCTCCCATTATAAATACTGATTTTGGGCTGTCCCATGCGCATCAATCAACATTTTCATTCATTACAATGCCTCTTCATCTTATTAAAAGCCTTCTAATTAAAAGCCCTTTCACACTATCCCAACGAATATTTTGATATATGCGCACTTCCCCTCTTGTTCTTGTTTTTATGTTTGTCTTTTTTCCCAATATGTTATTGGAGTATATATGATAAGTAAGGAGAGTGAATTGAGCAAGGGAACTTACTGGGGATGACATAAGAGAGCCGGATGAATCAAGCACTCGTGATAAATGAACTCGTCTGATTCAGCACTCTGCATCTTCCATCAATCACCAACGCCTGTGTAAAAGTAAAACACTTTCAGAGTTCAGTTCTAACAAGAGGGAAAACTCAAGAGTACGCGAATGAATATTGTTTTGGTTTATTGATGATGTGAATGAAGAGAGAGGCGGAATTAAACCTTGCCGAATGCTTGGTGTCTAAGAGTGCAATCTCCTGGTACTGGCTAATCCCCTTATGAAGGACGCTGTTGAGATTTTGACAGAGCAAGAAAAATTAAATATATGTGTAAGGATTCATGAAGGCGGAGAGAAGGAGGGATGGATGGGAGAAGAACCTATTGAGAGCAAAAGACCACTTGAGATGGTGATCGATGACTTCCTCGAACCAGGCGGAGGTGGAAGAATCGTGGTGGTGGTGGTGGTGGGTGAAGTTCTGGTCGGTTTCATGCCCAAATTTGGAGAAGCCATTACTATTGTATTCACATAGCACAGCTCAGGAGCCTCACCCATATTGTCGTAATATGAGAATGAACCAACCAAAACTATTGTTGGAGATGCTGCTTCTGCACTAATATGTATTCGTGCTTCTCTGCCACTGAGCTCCGCTTCTGGCTTTTTATAGCCACTCTCCCCACACAAGTGTTCATTAATTACAATTATCATCCACTATGCCATACTTTAATCATTTCATCCTTGTGCATGCATAGTACCCGTGTTTGAAAGCCAAACCAAAAAAAAAGAAAAAGGTAATAGTTTTATGCATATCCCTCCAGGGATATCCGACGGATATTACGGGCCACACACTACTTAAAAGAAAACGATCTCATAAGATTTTTTTTTGTTTGAAAAAATAAACTCTAAAAATAACATTAAGTTTTTTTTTTGGACTGATGAAAATAACATTAAGTTGATACAACATAATTGTACCAAATTATTATGTAAATGTGTGCATATTAATGAAAATGAAACCTCCCCCCAACACACACACACGCTCATACACACTCCCTCTTAAAGATGTAGCGGTTAATTCTTTATCCCGTATAAATTGTTGGCATATTTTCAATTCATGGCCAACACTTTGTTGTGATTATTAATTTCAGTGAAGAGAAAAATTAGAAAGTCCCTCATTCTTTAATAAGTTCAATAATATTAATTACCACTCTCTGAGAACGTCCGCGAGGTTGGTCAATGTCACCCTACAATTACCATCGAAGCTAAGGGAGGGATTGCATCAAAACATTATATTTTCTAGCTTATATTGACAAAAATATGTAAGAAAGTCCCCTCTCACTCAAATTTTAGGATATCATCCTAATCATTGAGATAATATTTGAGGTGTATATTTTTCAAAAAAAATCATGTAAACTTGCCGCTAATGGTTTAGAAAATTTGGGACATGAAATCACGTAAAGCAAAAAAAAAAACAATTATAAGTTATGTAATTTATTTGATTGTGAGTGGGCGCAAAAGTTATAAGAGAAAATAGAAATACATGGGGTTGACTTTTTTAGATATGGGCACCAAATCTATTTCCATGAGCTTGGCGCGCATGATTTTATCTCTCTTATAGGAGACGACTTTAAAAGATATCTTTTGAATATGGATAGCTCTCGGAGTCTATTGTTGGTCACTTAACTTACGTTGTCACTTCTCCGCTTCTTTCCCCTTTACTTTTATTTTTGAAATTCAAGAGCTCATCTTTAATAGAAATAGATGGTGCATTCTTCATGACTAAAGAATAATGTAATTTTTGTAGGCTTTAAATTGATTACATAAATTAGTCACTGTATATTATTTATAAGTTTTCAATTTGAGGACATATGTGATCCAATTTATAAGATTTAATTTGGGTTTGTCTCAATATTTAATGTATTTTTTAATTTTATTCTTGAATTAATTATACTCTTCTTTATTACACTTTGTTTTACCATATTTTCCCACATATTTTTTTGTCATTTTGTCTTATTTATTATAAAGACGTACTACTTCCTGCCCCTTAATATAAGAACTAGTTAACTGTACTAATTTGAGAAAATTAAAAAATTTGTTAAGTTAGTTATTCATAATAAATAAATGTTATCTTCTTTAAGATACTTTTACTAATTATATATATTAGCTAGAACTATAATTAGACATGCGTAACCACTACAAGGATTATTAAAAAAAAACAAATACAAGAAATAAAATGAATTAAGATTTTATACTTAAAACTAAATAAAATATTAAACTAACTTTTATAAGAACTAGAAGTGGTATTTGAAAATAAAAGAATATTTGTTACTGGATTTATGCCTTATGTGAAATATAACCATTGATTTCATAAAATCACGATGACCAAACCGGATTCTTTGAAAAAGAAGGAATTTTGGCAATTGTGAAGTGGAAGAAAATTAATGGGGATGGATAGTGGTACCACGGGTGTACAGGCGGTTGGGGCTGTTTGTGGGAAGCCAAGCTGGTAGTCCACTTTTATGACGTGTCGGCATTTGAAGAGGTGGGACCCAACTTTCAAGCATTTGTGGTGACTCCAAACTAGCACGCGCGGAAAGTTGCGTTTCTACTTTGTACTCTACCTGGGTAGTGGTGGGCCCTGCACGTCCACGAGGGCGTCGAGTTGCACGTGGGCCATATCTGTCCGTTGAGTTTATCCCTACGTCCAACTCTGTAAAAGGATAAATTCTTTTATGGGGCAACATTTAATCTTTATCTTTAATGATTAAAAAAATCGAGGGAAGGTTTTAACTTTTAAGCTTGATTAATATAGTATTAATGATATTAGTATATGTAAATGTAATGGTTTAAATTGAAGTGGTTTTCCCGTTAGAAAAAAATCATTAAAGACCTAATGTCTGAATTTTTAGGTTGAATTTTGCTTGATAAAAAATAATCTGATTTGTTAAACTAATTGTATATTTTTATATCTAAAATTAAGGATTTTTGTGGATGTGCCATGTTAACATGAAAGAGTTATTTTTAACTAATAGGAAAAAATTCTACAAAAACATCATTTCACATTATAATCTCATAAGGTTATTTCAATTTATAAAATTCCAAATCAATACTTCACATCAAATAATACGTTGAATCATTGGCGATTTTACAATATTCCTCATTATTTCCACCACCCCTTGGATCTTAAAAGTCTTAGTGACCATTATTGAGTCACCAAAACTATTTATTAAAATAATGCAAAATAATTCTGTTTTATCACGACAATTACAATAATACGATCGAGTTTCATCATTTTATCAGTATCGTTTACAACAACTTTTTTATAATTTCAACACTTAATAAAAATCGTAAAATGTAATAATAAAATATAAAAGGTCACATATAAATTTAATTCAAAAGCTAGTTGTATGATAAAAGTAAATTAATGAAAGAGAAGGGAAGGCGAGAGATGGGGCTAAAGAATAAAATGGATAATATATGAAAGGGAGAGTGACAGTCAAATCTCATACAAGAGAAATAACTACTAAAAGATTCAATAACAACTTAAATAGCCTGTAGTAACAAGTTCTAGAATGAATAATAACAACCTCTGGGACTTGTTTTATAATTATTTTTTTGTATGGGACCTTATTGTAAATCTTTCTATACCAAAGGAGTAAAAATAGTTGGAAGAATGGAAATGGAGAGCGAATCTAGGACAGTACCAGCCACCATGTTCGCCGGCTAGGGGCAGTGGGGTACGATGTTAGGCTTAAATATTATCCAAAGGACCAACGGAATTAGTTAATTTAATTGGATCGGGACAAGTGCTATAAATAATTTGTTAGGCAATTGTTGTGACGTGAATATATTAGCTCACTTTCCTAATTTATGAACAACTACACCTCATTAGAGATTTTATATTGCGTGTTTAAGTTGATTTTTTTTTACCACGCAACGTATTTATATTGATTTTGATTCATCTTTGATCATAAACTAAACATATTTTTTAATTTGTTACGTGAACTTTCAAAAAATGTTATAATACATGTAATTGGTTTTTTTTATACAATTTGACAATGATCTTGCAGTACAGCAATATAAAAACTCTTTTGTAAGTGGGAGATCACTAGTTAAACCCCACTTATAATCTGAAGCTGTTAGTGTTTACACTCTAAATTTTAAAAAAAATTGTTACAAGTTTAATTTCACTTGTAATTTTAAATAGTTAGTGCCCACCATTTAAAGTAGAAAGAAAAATATTTTATATTCTGTGCTTAGGAAATTAATTGCAGTGTTTAGACATGAATGAATTGTGATATGTGTGTGTGTGTAGATAGATATTATTGGTATTATTGGTATATTGTATTGAATATTAGGAAGGTGATGGGAGATTGTCGTTTAGGAAGAGGGTGGGGAGGGGGGGAGTGGGTGGATGGATGGAGGGGATTGGAGGCAGACTTAAGCGTGGCTTCCCTCCATTATGCATTTTGTGGACAACCCACTTCTCTATCCATTCTTCATTCTCCATCATCTCCATTCTTTTCATGTGCCTAATTTTTTAATCACCTCATAATATCTTTTTTATTATTTTTACGACCCTCCATTATGGATCCCCCCAACTAAAACAAAAAATCATATGTGCATCGGAGATGGCAAGAGTTGATGATCAGGCAGAGAAACAGTAGAATCATTAGAGTGGACGAGAGCTGAGATATATAAAAAAATTTCAATGAAAAGAGTTTGAACAAATTGAAAAAAAAAAAACAACAAATTGAAGTAGAAGTACTTATAAAATTAGGAGCAGTATATTAACATGAATTGAATATGTAATACAATGGGGAAATAACATTGAGTTATCATAAAAAAAAGAAATAAGAAATAACATTGAGTTATTGATAATTGAAGGTACATATATAAAATGTTATCTGATCTCTGGAATGATGGTCGTCATGACGAATTAAATAAGAAAGAGATTATAATTAAGGTGGATTTGATACTAGCTACCTCCAGTCCTTAATATAATATCTCGTTTGACTTTTATATATTTTGGTCATAAATATAAGACCCCAATCTACTTTGTCTCTCATATTTATTCATTTTTTTTCCA